ATATGAATAGTAAAATGATAGCAAACTCAGAATCATTAACAACCACAGCTAAAATAAAAACAAAAGCAACTAAGCAAACAACTAGAACAGGAACACAAGAAATGGAGATCACATGGAGGTTTATCAACAGGGGAGTGGGAGGGGGAGAAAGGGAGAAAAAGTTATGGAGAATAAGTAGCATAGATGGTAGGTAGAAAATAGACAGGGGGAGGGTAAGAATAGTATAGGAAATGTAGAAGCCAAAGAACTTACATGTACAGCCCATGGACATGAACTAAAGTGGAGGAATGTGGGTGAAAGGGGTATGCAGGGCAGAGGGGAGTAAGGGGGGGAAATGGAACAACTGTAATAGCATAATCAATAAAATATATATATTTTTAGCAATAGCCTCTTTAATAAATGTTGCTGGGAGATCTGGTACACACAAAAAAAAATGAAACTAGACCACCAACTTACACCATACACCAAAATAAACTCAAGATGCATAAGAGACTTAAGTATAAATCATGACACCATGAAAGTCCTAGAGGAGAACATAGGCTAGAAAATTTCGGATATCCCACATAGCAATATTTTCACTGATATGTCCTGTAGAGCACAGGATATAAAGGAAAGAGTAAACATTTAAAAGCTTCTGCACAGGTAAAGAAAACATCAATGAAAAAAAGGCAAACAACTGTATGGGAAAATATATTTGCCAATGACATATCAGACAACAGTTTGAACTCCAAAATATATGAAGACTCCACATCTAAAGACAACAATCCAGTTCAAAAAATGGGCAATGGACCTGAGCAGACAGTTCTCCAAGGAGGACATACAGAGGATCCATAGGCATTAAAAGGTTGTTCAACATCACTAGCCATCAGAGAGATGCAAATTAAAACCACAGTGAGATAGCACTTCACACTGGTCAGAATGGCCATCATAAACAAAATCAACAAACAACAGGTGCTGGGGAGGTTGTGGAGAAAAGGGAACCCTTGTGCACTGTTGGTGGGAATGAAGATAGGTGTAGACCCTGTGGGAAACAGCATGGAATTTCCTCAAAAAACTAAAGATGGAACTGCCTTTTGATTCAGTGATTCCACTGCTGGGATTACACCCTAAGAATCCTGAAACACCAATTCAAAAGAACCTCTGCACCCCAATGTTCATAGCAGCATAATTTACGATAGTAAAGTGCTGGATACAGCCTATGTGCCCATTGGTAAGTGAGTGGATCAAAAAGTATGGTACATTGACTCAATGGGATACTATGCAGCAGAAAGAAAGAAGGAAGTCCTACTATTTGCAACAGCATGGGTGGAACTAGAAAATAATATGCTAAGTAAAATAAGCCTGGCAGTGAAAGACAAATACCATATAATTTCTCCTATAAGTGGAACCTAATCAACAAACAAACGAGCTAAAAAGAACCAAAGACATGGAAATGTACAACTAACTGATGGCTAGGTGGGAAAGGAGATGGTTGGGGAAAGAAGGGGAACATGTACAAAGGACTCATGGACAAGGACAATGGGGTATGGATTGTCTTTGGCAACAGAGGTTGGACAGGGTGGGGAGAGCAATGGGGGGAGAATGGAGATAACTGTCACTGAACAATACTAAGAAAATAAATTTAAAAAGAAGCTGAGACTGGATAATGAATTAAATGTTGGGAGCATGAGCTCAGATCTGTTTGGAAAGATGTACTGCCCTGTTGGTTTTCGTCAAGCCATTTGGTATCTTCCAGAATTATTTCTAACCCAATGACTCTTAAACCTCTTGAGATCATATACAGTTTTGAGAACTTGCTATGAAGCTTTGTATTTTTCTCAGACAAATGATGGTGTGTACATTTCTGAAATATGTATGTGTACATCTATGTATATAGATGTATATTTATTTCTCAGAAGCATTCAGGAGCCTCTTCATTGATTCTGGGTTAATCCCATTCTTTCCTAATTCAAAATGAGCTTTCCTCATTTGAGTGCCTAGCTCCTTCTGTGGCAGGGGCTCTGGTGATCTTGGAAGTTGTTGGTTAAGTGGGGATAGTGAGGTGCCTGAGTGAATAGCATCAAAGAGAGAAAAGACCTGGAGCACATAGAAGATGGAACTGAGCCACAGTCTTTGCATTTCCCACTGAAGCTTTAAATGTATCTGCAGTCTCCACTTGAACCAAATAAGCTTCCTTTAGAAAAGAAAGAGCCTACCTTTTTTCCTTATAAAATCCTGATTGTATTACTTCTTGAATATTTTTCTTTTTAAAGGAGAACTACAAACCTTATATTATAGGGGCCTCAGATTGACAGCTTAACTTGTATCTCACTAGGATTCAGGTATTTCTGGTCACGGAGCAAAGGCCAGTGGGACGGGTATGACAAGGGAGTGTTAGCAGAAAGGACTAAGAGAGCCCATTTGGAATGATCTCCTCACAAGGAATAAAGAGTTGGTTTGGGCAATGTGCCAGATTTAAGGGTCAAGTGTGATTTTAATACAGTGCAGTATCAGCCAATCATTGCCCTGCCACCCCTAGGGCTTGTGCCTGACCCAAGTTGAGAGATGATAGTGATCAGTATGCTAAAAATTTGATTCACTAAAATGTCTGTGAGGCATCACAACAGATTTTGGTGGTGACCCAATCCATATACTTACTGTGAACACCTATGACTTCCTACCTGAGCACTTTTTTCAGGAGCAAAGGAAGCAAGCTCAGGCCATGAGCTGGGCAAGCTAGAAATGCCAGAAAGTTAATACCCCTGGAAGCAGCCCCCAGTCAACCACAGAACAGAATTTGGTGAGGAGGCAGCCCTTAGCAGATGATGAATAGCGCCCTCAACTCTTAAGGTGGGATACTTCCGAGGCATGTTCTACAGTCTCCCAAAGTCCTCCAGAAGGATCAGGCTCCAGGATAGCTGTTTTGATAACTGTTAGCTTTCTTCTCATCACTGACTTTTCTTACTTCCTTTCCACTGTTCCTGGGATTGCTCCAAAATACTAAACTGCTTGCACTTACATCCTTGTTTCAGAGGCTGTTTCTGGGGGAAGCTCAATACTAAGACAGGCATTGAGTATACAAGGCAGCACAAGTTTGGGGTCAGGCAACCCTGAATTCAAATTGTTTCTCACCAATGGCGGTGAACAACTTAGTTTTTTTAAGACTGTTTCATCCATGAAATGGGAAGAACAGTAGTGACTTCACCAGGACACTTTATTAGAAAGATGTTGAGAATGTATATGAAGTATTGTGCACTGGGGCTTGTACATAGTAGGTGCTTAATAAACCTTGACTATTCTCAATTACATAATATTGTTAATAGAGCACAGTGCAGGGTGAAGGCAAAGCTGTTCCCCACACTTGGGTGATTACTGAAGGAGGTTTGGAAGATGTGCTGTAGAGGTCGGGTGTCTGTGAGACTATGGAGTTTCCTCATGTCAGTGACTGAAGAGGAAACATTGCCACAGAAACATTGCTTTTATTATGTTCATGAACTTACTTTTCTGTCTTTTTTTAAGTTTTACACTTTTTAACAAAGATTTTATTTATTTATTTTTAGAGAGGGGGAAAGTAGGGAGAAACATCAATGTGTGGTTGCCTCTCATGTGACCCCACTGGGGACCTGGCTCACAACACAGCCCTGTACCCTGACTGGGAATCAAACCCAAGACACTTTGGTTCACAGCCCACACTGAGCTACACCAGCCAGGGCCTTAATTTGCTTTCTTAGGGTCTTTCATATTGGAGTTGTTCCCTTTTCTCCCCTTCACTCCCTACTCCTAGGCAAGGTCATATTTAAATTCTCTGATCACAATGAAAGAGAATTCCTTTCAGCCACACTGAGGCAGGCTGAAGGATTTCACTTATTCTCTAATCCCCATGAATTAGACTGCCAGGTTCACTGGCAATGTTCAGGCTTTTCTAACTGCCTGGGGTTCCAGGGTGGGATATAAACAATGGGCCCCTTTGGCTAAGACGGCAGACAGCAGGGATGATCAGCTGTTGCCATGCCACTGCAGGTGCAGCTGGATGACCATGGTTATGGAATGTGTTTTGGCTCTTTTCATTGTTTACTCTAGCTCAAACTCAAGGGCCTATGGTGATATCCTGTCACAGTCTTCTACTTCTTTAGACACTAATAGACAAATTTCTCCCCAATTCTGTAGAGGATATATGCATAAGATATGCATAAGATACCATGATTTTTATGCAAAAGTAACTTTTAAGAGGGGATAGCATTACAGATAGGAAGGGACCCAGCAACCTTGACACACCTGGCCTTAAGAACAAGAGCCACAAGACCTGTGGATCTCATCTGTCTCATGGGAGAAAGAAAAACCTATCTGTGACCTTGTCAGCTGGTCTTCATCTCATGCAGGGATTTTCCCAAGAGGGTCCCATTTCGTGTGTCTATGGGGTCTGAAAAATCTCTTGATATCAACACTTTAATACTTATCTCTGAGACACTTCATTAGTACCCCTCAGGGCCTTTTGCATTAAAGTGACTTAGGTTTATGTCTTAGTGTGAAACTGTGAGCTCCTTGAGGGCAGAATTCAGTTATGATATTTGTTTGTGCCCAGAAGCCAGTATAGACCCTGCCTAGGGTTGCCAGGTTTAGCCAGGGAAGAAGGAAATATTGTTTATCCAGAATTCAAACTTAACTGGCATCTTGCATTTTATCTGGCAGATAGCCCATCTCAGTAAATATTGGTGGGTGAGGGAAGAAATGAATGACTAGAACTGTAGCAGCAAATGGAGAAATAAACTGGTAAAAACACAGCCTGACCATGTAAAAGATACTCACCTAAGTTATGTCTAACAATCAGAAAACATCAGAATGTGTCTGGTTCACGTTCTTTCTGCCTTGGAAAGTCTGACAGTCTGGTTTTGACTTGAGGGGCGTTTCCTACCCAGGCCTCCTCAGTCACTCGCACTTAGTGTCTGTGTGGGAAGAACGCTGATATTCTATGAAGGTGTTTCGTTCCAGTAACTTTACCTCTGAAGTCCACACATCTCTGATTTCGTGTCTGCCTAACCGTTTATTAGTGCGCACCAGTTGTACAAGAAAATGGACATTGGATGGTGTATGGGATTCAGTTATTCTGAAGCACAAACATCTCTGTATCTTCCTTTAAAATTCCAAAAATGTGCTTTCACTCCAGCCGAACCCTGGGATTTTGGGTAAAGTCACTCACTTTGATTAAGCCATCAGGACCAATTCTGTTTGGGAGAGATATAGGCCTGGGGTTAGTTCCTTTAACAATTATTCTTAAGGAAGACTTTGTAAACTCTCTGGGTGAATTCTGCTGCGGCTCCCGCCCTCATCACTCACTTTTTCTCTGAACTCTGGCCTGCCTGCTCCTTCTCCTCCACTCCTACCCACTGGTGCAACCTGAACACCAGCCAGCATCACCTGGAGGGCTTGCTAAGACACAGATGCTTGGGCCCTCACCTCCCAAGTCACTAATTCAGCAGGTTAAGAAACTGCATTTCTAACAGGTTTCCTGGTGATGCCCTGCTGCTGCTGGTCTTGGCAACACACAGAATCGCCGTTCTATACCATTCCTCCCCCTGCTGTTCTGGATCCTTATCTCTTGTTCTCCATAATATTTCTCTGTTCCCAGAGCAGCATAACACAGTAACCTCAGTCTGCCTTGGCTTGCTAGTTCTATTTCCCTCCTTCTTTCTCCCCCTTCAGTTGGTAAACATTTACTTACACTTCCTGTTCAATGTAGGCCAGCATTCGGCTGACATGTGATGCAGAGATCTCCCCGTCCACCTCAGCAATATATGTGTAGAGAAACTGGAAGGTGCTGAACGGGATCCGGGCAGGTCCACTATCATGGCCGGATGATAAAACTTCACAGGCTATCTTGAGAGTTTTGGAAATGGTCTATAAAGCCATAAGAGTAAATCAGGAGACAGGCACTATTCCAGGCTAGACTCCTAAGACCAGTTTAGATATGAGAAAGAAAACAAAAAATTTGCTCTCATAAAATGAAGTGGGAATAGTATAACGTTCTGGCAAGTTTTAGTTTTCTGTACCCAAATGTTATTTAATTCAATCAGATACTCTTGGTCTACTGGGTGTCTTCTTCTTTTCCCTCTTCTTTCTTTGTTGGAGGGATGCTGTCAAGGAATTAAATTTATAAACTGCTCAATACTTTAAAATATTTATTATTTTAATCAGAACAAACTGAAGAAGAATTGGATTTGCATTCTACAAAATTAAAATGAGTTATTATTCTTATTATTCTCCTGTGTTTGTTATCTTCAAGGGGATGAAGTGATTAGTGTAACCAGATACTTGGAGGGAAGGCCACTGGGGGTGGGGAAGTTTGGGGGAGAGTGGGGGGAGGGTAATGCCCCTGGGAGATAAGAGTTGCAGACTCAGGAGGAGTGACACTGAGCATCACAATGAGCCTACTTCTTCTAATACATAAGGATCTAAAAATAAAAAATAAAAATAAAACATGTGGATCTATATAATCAGAACTACCCAGTACCTTATATGACACTGACCTTGTAGTTGCTAGGAAAAATTAGTAGATGATGAATGCTAGAAGTTTTAATGGAAGGGTTGCTACAGAAGCAAATATTCCTTACCACGAAACTTGAACATTAAAGTGTCGAGTTCAGAACTGAAGTTTCACTTATCTTTGTCTTTAAATAAAAACTGCACTTGGAATAGGAAAAGAGTTGTGAAATGATGGGATAAAGTAAAGATTCAAAGAAAGGATTGTTTAGGTCCTAAGTGGCAAAGACAGGTCCGCATATACACTACGGTGTTTTTTGAAAACACATGACATGTAGCTTCTCCTCACACACTCTGCAGGGAGCAGTGAAAAGTTAGTCCTAAGCAGCGAACTGGGAGAAAGGAGCAGCAGCTGCTGGAACTCCCCAAATGGTTGGCCAGTGCTGCTCTTGGTTTGCAGTTCCTGTTTGCTGTTGTGCTCTCCTCCTCTCCCTGAGTGTTATGAATGTCTACATGGGCCTTAATCCAGTAAGTCTGACCTCCTTATAAGAAGAGGAAGTTGGGGTGAAACAGAGAGAGAGAAAAAGAGAGAGAAAGAAGACACATACATGTGCACATGAACCACCATGTAAAGAAAGAGGGAGGCACTGGCTATTTACAAACCAAAGGAGACTGTCCTCAGACACACCTCGGTCTCAGACTTCCAGCCTCCAGAACTGTGAGGAAATACATTTTCATTGTAAGCCTCCCAGTCTGTAGTACTTTGTTATGGCAGCCCTAGCGAACTAGTGCAGATGTTTTCTACCCCAAACATCTTTTACCAATCATTTAAACAACCTTCAAATTCTATTGCCTTCATAAGATTTTAAAATAGCTTAAGAGATTTAATAAATAGCTGAATAGATAAAGAATTCTCTTGCCTGGGGCTTTTTGTTAAACTTAAATAAATTTAAAGTAAACAGAAATCTGCATTCTGATGCACAAGGTATTTTGGTCAGATAGGCATTCACTTCATAGAGATAGCCTTTGAGCATCTTACGAGCCTCATTTTCAAAATTAGAGGGGAAAGGCTCAGAAAGTGAATTATTTGCTAATAAGTTATCTTATTGTTTCCAGTGAACACAATTATATATATATATCTCTGTATATAATTGGTCTCAGTGGAACAGGAGGTGCTGAAGGCTTTTCCAGAAGAAGGGTGTGCTGAAAGGGAAGCGATCATGGCTGGCTGGTGAGTTGGCAAAGACAGGAAGGATTTGTGGGCTTGCCTCTAGAGATATATGGACTAACTAGAATGCAAGCCGTCCTGTAGCTTGCAGCATCCTGACCTCTCTCACATTTAAGTTCCCTAGAGCATTCTAACATGTCACACATGGGAATAACAGTATTGGTTCCTGAATTCCCACAGCACCCTTTATTTACAGACTAGACCTTCAGGCTGACTTCACTTCTGGGTGTTCTTTGAGATCCAAAGGATGAGGGGCAAAGTCATCCTCCTCTGGACCTCTCAGAATTGGAGGGGATCCATTCTCATCCAGAGCCAGGCCTGAGGGTGTCTCAGTGGAAGCAGAGAAGGGGGAATAGAAGTACAGAATGTTAGAGATGAAAGAACTTCATGGGACATCTAACTTGACCTCACCATTTGAGCAGGGAGGTAGAAAAATACGACTCACTTTGTGGCCTCCCCTCCTCAGCCTGGGAGGCGGCCACATCAGAGTAAACCTTGCAGCTGCACAGTGGGCTCAGCAGAGGGAGGGTGGAGTGTGGCTTTCCAAAGTCACTCTTGGTCACTGCGAGGTATGTGGAGAAGGAGAAAATGCAGACATCTCCCAGGGTGGTTGAGGTGCTATGAAGTGACCCCTGAAGCCAGGGAACAGAGGAGGGACATCTGGAAGAGAGTCAAGGAGCCCTGAGCACCAGTGACAATGAGCCAGTGGGGACTATTGTACCACAAGGAAAGAGAGACCAAAGACATAAGCTGCAAACAGAGGAGCATGTACTTCCGGGCAGATCACAGATATGAGAGAGGACCACAGGATGCGGGAAACCCTTCACTTGGGTGTTCTAAGGTCCTAGAGTCACCCCTTTCCTAACATCCTAACATCCTAATACACTCAGATGCCATCATTTTTTTAGTCAATTGGTTAAAATATTTTTTCAATTATGGCTGACATTCAATGTTATATTAGTTTCAGGTGTACAACATAGAGGTTAGATACTTGTATAACTTATGGAGTGATCCCCTGATAATTGTAATACCCTACCTGACACCATGCATAGTTATTACAATATTCTTGACTCTATTCCCTGTGCTGAACTTTACATCCCATGACTACTACTGCCCATTCTCAGCTGCCATCTAAAGAGAGGGGCAGTGAGGAGACACCTGAAAGACTGGACAATTTACCTTAGAGCTGTTTCTGTAATTGCATCAGGCAAAAATTTTCGTATTGGATTGAATCTACTTATTTTCTTACTCCACTCTTTGTGGGTGGGGTAAATCAGGAAAATCAGAATTAATTACAGATAAAATAAAAATAATTCCCCCTTCGCCCTCCTGACATCTGTGAATGTGGTATAAATTTGTGATCCTATGAAACTTTGGTGAAACTGTCCATTTCGTTTTTCCCTTCCGTGATTTTCCTAGTCCCTGGGGCTATTTCCACAGAAGTGTGATGATGCTGAAAGGCAACTTACCTGCCCTCTGCTGCACTTCCCTCCTCTCTCTGGAGGAGAGTCTTTGTTTGTTATATAATGTTGCCATAGAGAACATCAGAGACCAAAACCCCCCACAACTGGCCTGCCTCTCCTCTTCTCTACAGAAATGAATATGAGCAAAGTTTCAGGGTAAACCCATTTTCCCAGAAACCAGAAGCTCAAATGTGCATTTCAAGCATATTGGAGAAGAAAGAATAAGATTAGGATTAAATATGCTGAGTAACTCAAACTATACCTTTTCATACCATTTGGTTTTGGCAGAGGCGATAATTTTCCCATTAAATCTTAAACTTGTATGTATTTCAGAGATTTTAAAAAAATCATGTTTCTGATGAATTCTCATTTAAGTTATAGAAGTATCTCTTTCTTTAAAACAGTAAGATGACTTTTCCAACTGTAAACCCAGTCGGATGTGGAAAAGGCATACATCTGTATGAGCGTACTATGATGCTTCCGTGATGATCTCATGACTGTAAGTCTAGACGCAGCCTCCTTTCTCCTTTCTGGCTCTCTTATCTCTGATGTTTTTCCAGTTATGCTTATCTAGTAGTTTTATATAAAGCTGCAACTCTGTTTTGAAATCCTCCCATGGGTATATCTTCTAGGTATCTGGAACCCAGGTATAAGCAAATCTTATTCCACAGCTGGGTCTCAGTCATCTCAGGGAACATGAATGGAGGGAGTAAAGTGGAGATGGAAATCAATTCAAGTGCAATGATTGCAAATCATAAATAATCCAAAGGCCACATTTTAGTCAACCTCTCCCCAGAGCCTGATGACAGCTTCCTTTTCTCTTTCCTCCTCACCCTGGCTTCTGACTGATGGGCTGAGAAACTGATTCAGACAGGAGAAGGAGTGGGTAAGAAGAGGCAGAGCCCTGGAGGGTTGACAGTGTACATAGATGTCCTGCCCTTCCAGGCCTGGCGAGAGACTTCCCCTTAAGGACAAGAAGCATTAAAGCTAACTTACAACACCAAGAGCGCTGCAGGCAAGGGCTAAAAACTTTAGCCACTCAATCTCCTCCGTGAAGCGGCCCACATTTATCACACTATTTAACAGCTCGGGTGGGAGACTCAGCACCTTCCACATCTGGCCCAGCTCATTCACATGGATAATCAGCCTGCCAGCAACCTGCAGGGTAGTAGACAGACACAAGGCAGAGAATGAGTGACAGGATAAAAGCACACCCTGAGCAATGCCTGCCCAGGAAAGGCCCTGTGTTCTCCCAGAATCTAGAAAGAGATGGGGGTGTCAGGGGATAAAAGGGGGCTCTGATTGGCAGCTATCTTTGAAGGGGTAGAGAAATATTCAGCCAATGAAGAATATGCTAAGATATAACTTAATCATTTTAACTTCAGATGTCAGAACTGTGAGAACAATGTACATTAATAGTATATTTTTTCTGATGCTTTTATTATCTGCTGCTTCATTCCTAGGTCATTCCTGTAAGGCAGACAGGGCAGCCTGAAATTAAACCAAGGGGCAGAGGAATGTTCGAGACCAAAATTAGTGGTGACACTAGAACTAGGCATTAAACCTCTTGCCTCTAGACTTCATTCAGTTCCTTGTGGTAGACCTCACACACACCCCTCACCCTTCCCCAGGAACAACATGGCTCTATGTCTGGATGCTTCATGTTGCTTGGCCCCTGCTATCTCGGATCTCTGCCACGTCCACTGCTCAAGGTTCTGGTGGTTAAGAGGAAAAGGGAACAAGTGGCCAGCTGTTGGCCCACAAGGCAGTAAGGGCACAGGTGCCCCAGTGAAGCATTACTAGCCCTCTGATTCTAGTGAAATGCTAAGCCTCTGGCTAAGTCAGACCTGAGTCACCCCGAACTGCTCTGTCCTGGATTCTAAAGCGGGGTCTCATGGGGCTAATCCATCTTTCCTCATCCATTCTGCAGGCAGCCCCCAGGATGATGTGGCAATGAAAAGAGCCAGAATTATCCTGAAAATTAGGCTCTCTCCATCCCCACCTGGAATAACCAGGGAACTGCAATATGTCCCTCCCCAAACTGTGATTGTTCTCATCTGGTTATCTTGATCTTGATTACAGTAAGGGAGACACTGTCAAGGGATGTGCACTTGCAAAAACACTTTCTGGACAGAAGGGATTAGCATTTCTTGGAGCCCCTGGACATTCTGCTCACCACAGAAAAATCTGGGATGACCCCACTGGTAGCTCAGCTTACTGCCCATTTCAGTATCATTCCTATTTCCATCAGGTAAGAGTTATTTGCAGTGCATTGTTTAGTGAACTTTAGGATGATCCTAAGTGGCCAGCTGGCTTTTCAGGGAGGTGGTGGGCTTTTGTCTGTGCCTGGTGGCCTCGATGTTGTACCACCATTTCTGCTCAATGCTGCAGTAAGACCCTTACCCTAGAATGCAGGATCTTCAACAGCTCAGGTGTAAGCTCTGCAAAGTTAGATGAGGCTACTGGCTGAGACCCATCTCTCACTGGAGGAATGTCTCCACGGGTCAGAGCTCCAAAATAACTACAAGAAAAAAAGCTTCTTCATTGACAGCACATATGCAAGGAAACTCTGGATTGTAAGGGATTAAATATAGAAGGTCTGTCCAGAAGATATCCAGCCATGTAATATGAAAAACAGAGACATTTATTGAAGAAGATACAAAACACGCTGTACACAGGACAATAACATCTCAGTCCCTCTCAAAGTAGGCACCTTGGGACCTCACACAGTTTTCCCAGACAGCACAGGCTGCACCGTCATGTTTTCCTGAGTGTGATCGACAGTCTGAAATCTCTTCCGTCTCAAAGGTGATTATAGTTTTGGGAAAATCCAGAAGTCGTAAGGTGCCAAATCTGGGCTGTAGTGGGGCTGAGTTGCCTGGCTGATTTGATGTTTCACCAAAAAACTCTGCATGAAGCATGATGCATGAGTGGACACATTGTCATGATGAAGCTGCCAGTCACCAGTTCCCCATAACTATGGCCTTCTGAATCATCCAAATAGCTTCCGCCGAATAATGTTCAAAGTTAATGCAAAATTTGATGCAGAGTCATTGCTGTACTCACTCATTTTGAATGTGACAGCCACACAGTACACATGCTCACCCAACAATGTCTACCCCCTGCCCCTGCTTACTAGTACAGTAAAGTCATCATTGTTCACGCATGTGCATTCTAGTCCACTCTCCTTGGCTGTCAGGTTACATGGATGTCACGTAAACGGTTCCCATTCTATTAACAATGGCTGGACTTTTCCCAGACAGACCCCATATAGTTTGTCTTGGAAATACTTTGTGGAGTTCTATGCTCTAAACTGCTGCAGGTCTCTGGTCACATGAAACCATCTGCTAAGAGCTTTTCAATGTTTGAATGGATGGAGAGTGCTGTTAGGTCATGATCTGCTTTTTCTCTGCAGTTGAACTACAAACTAACTTCATGGATAGCTAAAAAAATTATAGCACATGATATAATGTGGGAGCAAGCAAGCTATAAGAATGGAGTGTTCTCTTACATAAATGTCAAGGACAATACCAAGAAATGCCATTTTTCTTGGTGTAAAATAGCAGCACAAGAACAACAAAATAAGGTTTTAAACTATTGTATCATATAAAACAGTGTGCCTGAGATGTCAAAAGAAATTGCTCTTCTGACACTGAAGTGCAAGCTTAGAGATAATGTATAAAATTTAGAATGCAGAACTAAACAGGCCTCATTACAGCAAAGCAACCCCATCTCTGTCTCTTTTTATGAGCAATCACTGGCTTATTTTCATTCCATTTATAAAAAGCCTCTTCATGGCCCAACCCAGGAACATGAGTACAGTGTCCCAGAGCCTCTGGAAGCCTCCTCTTGAGTGCATTGTGTGTGTTCTCCAGGTGTCCACACCTCTTTCCCACCACCCACTCAATCCACCTCCTCAACCTCACCTTCTCCCTTCCCTCAACCCACCAGCTCAGATAAACAGCCTCTCTTACTCCACTTTCCTACTTGAATGCTACTACAGAGGCCATCAAACAGTGAAAACAGCCCGAAAAGCATCTGGGAGTTCTGGTTAGCTCCCAAACTCCTGCCCCAAGTCCAAGTCCCCCAGTTGCCAGGAGGCACTTTGTCTAAAAAGCGATTTCAAATTTGAGGGGCTTTCTGTACAAAGCTGTTTCAGTCTGGCCAGCAGCCATTGTGTAAGCTCCTTCCATTGAGCAGCCTCTGGGGGTCCCTCCTGACAGAGGACACCTGCATTTGGGGCACAGTTTGTAGCCAGGCCAGGTGCTCCCCAGTCCTTATCACTCTGTTTTGCCTCATTTCTCCAGAATGCAATATGTACTGTGTGGACAGGTCAGTTCAAAGAACTCAAAAGAGAATAACAATTTCCCCAATGACAAAATACAAAAGGTCACTGGTTGGAGATTAAGGTCATTTTAACAGCAATGGAGGAAGGAGTCTCATGAAAGGAGTGAACCAGCTTGGACTAGTCCCACAATTAATTCACCCTGTGAGTGGATCCCAACCCTCCCGTAGGTGCACTGCTGTCATCTAGTGGTGATGCCAGAGATGGGGGCCAGGCTGTACATGGGGCAAAGCCCTGCCAAGTTCCAGGATTCTGAACTTTTCTTTCCCCTGGGACAGTGGGCTGGGGTGCAGGGATAGCTGGAGTGTGCGTATCCTGATGTGAGGTGATAATCTGACTTACTGATTGCCCTGGGACACTCTGCCTATTGCCCTGGCATCCTATTGCTCAGTCTGATTTGCTTAAGGGCATCTCATCTCCACTTGGTTTGATGGATTTATGTATAGAGTTTAAAGCATCAAAGAAATGAGAGAGTTGAACATCAAAGATTACACTAATCCATCCCAACCCCCAGGGTGCAGTGATGACAACCTCCTCACAGTCTTCCAAGACCTCCCCTGCTCCAGCCCCTCTCTCCACCTCCAGTGGAAACCAGGGCTGGAGGTGAGAAAGAAGTACGTACTCAGCAGCCCACTGGATGAGATCCTGAGGCTGGGTCCGAAGGGCAGCTTTGGTAAATTGCTTCAGCAATTCCGGCAGCTCCGGCGGAATGCATATTTGCTTATCCATCTGAGGCATTGATTGGTTGGGCTATTGGCAAAGAAAAAAATAAATAAAATGGGAAACTTTGAATTATAAAACAACAGGAACCCTGGACAGGAGGGTACCCATCCTCTGACACTCTCAGAACTGGGGAGTTCACTACCCCACCAGACAGATGCATTCTGTTGTTCCACAGCTCTGAAGGTAGTTTTTGTGAAATACGTGAGTTTTACTTAATTCTTGATTTTTGACACAAGTAAATAATTCTTTCCTTTGACATTAAAGAACATACAGAATACTCTTTCATTAAAAAACTAGAGATCAACAAGAAATAAGCAAAAAAATCTTCTAGTGATATCAACCCAAATATTAGGCATGGTTTTCCAGAATGTTATCAATGTAAATATTTGTTTGTATACATCAAAGTGGGGTCATACAAAACAGCTCATTAACTCCACAGCATATCACAATCATCTTCCATGCCGTGCAACTCTTATTGGCCAAATAAGAGTGGGGCAAAATCTATCCTGTGAATTCTCTAATATTTGGAATTAGGTTATTTACAAATAAAAAATAAGCATTAAGTAGTCATTTGATGAACATCTCTCTTTACATCTGTAGGTACTTATCTATTCTAATTGTAAAAGAGAAAACTCATACATTTCACTCAAAAAGTTCCAGGACATGTTGGAACAAAATATGAAAATCCATACATACTCTATGCACAAACAACAGGTTAAAAGATTTTGTCTGCATTTAGTACAGAAAGAGTCTAGGTATTCTGTAAAGCCCTCCCTCAAAACACACCTAGATGTAGACAAATCCCAGCCAACAATACCTTTCAAGTTGCCTTGTTAAGTTGCAAGAAGATGAGGGAAAGGAGCAATTGGTCAAATAAAGTGAGGAAAGTGGAAACAGAATGGTCAGCAAATGACAAAATGAGGGGCAAGTGCGGATGCCAGGAACTTGGAACTCAGACAAATGGCCAGGCAAGTTGGGAACAGACCGGATCTGGGGCCCCCAAAATGGAAACAGCTGAACTGAAGGACTCTCAAACCACTGTCCCCCTCCAATATGAGACCCTCCAGGGTTCACACGCCCTTAGGGTGAAAGGGTGGGACTGAGAATACCTGCCTGTTGCAGGGGAAGTAACATAGAAATCTGATTCCACTGTTACCTCTTTTGGGAGGCAAGGTAGTCTCCTACAAATCTGTAGCCACACACTAGATCTATGGTTTAAATTTATACCACCCACCAACCCTGGCTTGTGCAGCTCAGTGGATTGAGCATGGCCCTGCAAATCAAAGAGTCACTGATTTGTTTCCCAATCAGGACACCTGCCTGGGTTGCAGGCCAGGTCCCAGTAGGCAGTGCACAAGAGGCAACTACACATTGATGTTTGTCTCCCCCTCTCTTTCTCCCTCCCTTCCCCTCTCTCTAAAAATAAATAAATAAAATCTAAAAAAAAATTATACCACCTACCAGCCTGGTTGGAAAATCCCAAGACAAAAAAATTAGAGAGATCTCAGTTTACTAGTACTCTGTTATCTTTTACTTTATGTTCTTTTACTTGGAGGAAGAGGAGCATAAAGATATTAATTTTAGACTTTGTAAAAAATCAAGTATGCACAGTAAAATTTCAAGGGTAATTACTATGAAAGTAATATCACCACCAAACTAGCAAAGGAGACATAAGGAATTAGGAACAATCATAGCAAAACAAAACAACTTGTTAATCAAAAAGAAGTAAGAAAGGAGAGGGAAACACATAGGAAAAGTGTATAAATAACATGATAGAAAAGAATCAATTTTTATCAGAAATAAAGAAGGAAGGAAGAAAGGAAGGAAGGAAGGAAGGAAGGAAGGAAGGAAGGAAGGAAGGAAGGGAGGAAGGAAGGGAGGAAGGGAGGAGGGAAGTAAGGAAGGAAAAGAAACAGTGATACAGAAACTACCAGAGTGTATTTTTTAAAAATTCAGCTATAGACACATCTGAAATGATGTAAGGATGTGGAAAGACTGTAGGTAAAAGGACATATGATTAAATAGGCAAGTGATAACCAAAATAAAGTTAATACAGACGTGTTAATCCTAGACAACAGAGACCTGAAGGCAGGAGGCACCATTAGGAATTAAGAGTCACTACATAAGGATGAAAGCCTCCATTTGTGGAGAGGACAGCTGCAGACACCACCACGTGTGAATCTCGTGGCGCTGGCTGGAAAGGCAACCCATTGTTTAGGGTTACATACGTTATCCCAGGGTCGTAATGAAGAGCACCAGACGATAAAACACAAATCCAAACGGCTCTTACCTGAGTCGGGGAAGGAGAGAGAGGGTGTGGTCAGGGGGATGTGACAGGGGTCCCAACACTATCAGTGATGTTCTGTGTTCTAAGCTCAATAGTAGTTGCCCACATGTTTGTTTCATTACTTTTATGCCCATATTTACAATGTGCATTTTATTTTGTGTGTATAAAATAGTTCATAATTTAAAACTTACTAATACAAGTTGATTGTCTCTGGTAAGTTTTCAATACATTTGATTTCACAAAGAGCATTGCTTTATTTTGTTCACGTTGTCTGCAAATGTACTTTTTAAATCTGGTAGAATACACATAACATAAAGCTTGTAGCTTTAACAACTCTTAAGTGTCCAGGGGCATTGAGCACATTCACACTGCTGTGCAGCCATCACTACCTCCCTCTCCAGAACTTTTTTCATTTTCACAAACTGAAAATTCCTTACCCATTAAATAATGATTCTGTATTTCCCCTCCCCTGAAACCCTGGCAACCACCACTCTGTTGTCTGTCTTTATGAACTTGACTACCCTAGTACCTCATGGAAGTGGGATTGTGAGATACCTGTGCTTTTCTATATGGGTTATTTCACTCAGCATAATGTACTCAGGGTTCATCCATGCTCTAGCCTGTGTCAGCATTTCCTTTCCTTTTAGAGCTGAATAATATCGCGCTGCAGGTATGCACCACATTTTGTTTATACATTCATCTGTTGTTGAACATCTGGCTTATTTCAACCTTCTCACTATTGTGAATATTGCTGCTATGAACATGGGTATAAAAATATCTCTTTGGGTCTTGCTTTTAATTCTTTCGGGTAGTATACTCAGAAGAGGGATCAGATGGGAATTCTAATTGTAAGTTTTTAAAGACCTGTCCAATGTTTTTCACAAGGGCTGCACCCTTTAACTGTTCACATGTATTTTGACAGGGTCTTTGAGTCGTGCAATTCTTTGATTTCTATTCTGAAGGCTCAGATGGCCTCATGTAAATGAAATAAAGGCCCAGCCCTAGTGAAATAGGTTTCTATGACAACACTAATAATCATTACCCTTGCTCACCATAGGCTAGACAAATAACACCTCTACTTCACCCCATTACCTCTCTAGCAACTGTTCTGTGGTCTCTCGTCGTTTTTGGCCAAGGAATCCCTACCCATGCAAAGTCTCCATACCTACTTATTGTCCTTTCTCGATGTTCAGTTCTTCTTTAATCTCTTGCAACTTTTTCTGGTCCCATCATTCTATTGTTTCCTTGAAAGTCACCAATTACATCTGTTAACTTCTGATGTGTGCCAGATACAGTGTTAAGTATTTTGTATACATATTCTCACTTAAAATATCCTTATGAGGTAGATTATATTATCAGCATTTTACAAACAATGGACTGAGAGAGAAAAACTTTTGAAATGACATGTAACGAACAAGTGACAGAGGTAGGATTTGAACACACAGCCGGAGGTGGTAGTAGCCTGTTCAACATGACTGTCCTGTCCCTCTTGAGGCTTTTCCTTGATTTGATGGTAGACCCCATTTTTGCTTTTCTACTTTCCTCATCTCCTCTGTCACCATGACTTTTCTTCCTCCTTCCTCCTGCTAACCCAGAGTTCACAATCTTCCCAAAGCTGAGTCTTCAACATTCTGAGCTTATGTCTTTCCGCTGCCCTTCTTGGAGAGCTCACACCCTCTCAGGGCTTCATCTACCACAGAACTGTGCTGACTCTCACTTACGCTTCCATTCCACACTTCCTCCTGCCTCAAGGACCCATCTCCACAAAAATTCATTCTCCCTCTCCCAGCTGAGTCCCAAATTTGTTTCTGAACACTGTCACCATTTCCTCAGTCATTTGGCACCAAAGCCCTAGGGCCACCCATTCTCTTCACTCTGTTGAATCTGTCACTAAATCCCATTGATATTTCCTTTGAAATGTCCTCCCTTCTCTAGTTCCAGTCCTTTTACTTTGATTCAGCTCCTCGCCACCTATTGTGCAGCCTCTTAGCTGGAATCCTTGTCTCCAGTCATTCTCTGGTCTATTCTGGTCACTGTGTCTACATAGATCTTCTACACCACTGTTAGTAGGTTAGAGAGCCCTCTCTTAAGGCAATTATATCCTGACTTTCAAGGTTTTCCATGATTTTATACATATGATTTTCAACTGTAAATTTTCTGCTAGCACTTACACAGATTTCCAACACTAAGTTTACTGTGGCCTCTTTCCAAGAAATTATCCATTCAAAGCTCAGCACTTTCTCTTCTTTTGTTAACCAACATGCTTTTCTCTTTTCCTCAGGATGTTGCTAATTCTGGTTTCCTCTTCCTTTTCATCTATTCAAACCCTACACACCCTCAAGGTTTGTCTTGAGTCCATACTGTGCCACAGGTCCTCCTAGGAGACTTGTGTATGATCAAACATTATTTGTGATACATTCTACCTTGTATAGATTTCTAAAGCCGAGCTTCCCACAGGTGGTCATGGCAGAATAGGTTAGAGGCGTGCCCCAGAGATTGGTGGTTGTAAACATTTTTATAGTGATACAAAATTTACAACCATTCACAAATTTCAAATAGTTGACAGTCTACTTGGATACTGTTTGGATGAGTCAGTAATCTTCCAGATTTCAGTAATTATTGTTTGTGTTCTTAAGGTTTTATGCAAAGCACCTGCCATTAAAGATGCTTATAGAGGATTTTCCCCTTGAACCATCATGTTAAAAGCATAGTTCTGATTATTGCTTTAATTGCAATGTAT